TTAAATTTTTTTCTAATAGAAAGATGTGCTACACTGTATTGTAATAAGTATACTCTGTTATAATATTCAACAAAGTTAAATCCAAATTCAAAAGTATCCATAAAGTTATATCTTCTGGTATCACAATTTTTAAAGTTGAAAAGCATCCCAGTTAACTAGCTGTGGTAGTTACCCAGATGAAAGCATGGTGTTCCACCTGTGTCACATGGTTTTAGTGTTGCTTGGTTGTTTAATTACTTTGGACTTGTTTTGTTTTGTTTGTTTTTGCTAGAATAATGGCAACTACTTTTCCTGTTTTTCCCTAAACATTTTAAAAAGTGGAATATGGGAAGAGCTTTAAAGACATTCACCAACTATTATTTTCCTTCACTTATCTACTTTTGTAGCTGTTTGATCTTACTAAGAAAACTTATGCCTCATAATAGTAAAAAGGAATTTTAGAGGTTGATAGGTTTTAAAAATATACAAACTATCTGATCCAATGATTTTTATCAAACAGTGTGACTGGGCAAATGTTGCAGCTGATAATGAATGAATATTTTGCTTTTTACAAAATTGCCACTGATTTGGATTTGTGCACTCTAATTTTTAATTTATTGATGCTCTATTGTGCAGTAGCATTTCATTTAAGATAAGGCTCATATAGTATTACCCAAAACTAGTTGGTAATGTGATTATGTGGTACCTTGGCTTTAGGTTTTAATTCGCACGAAACACCTTTTGGCATGCTTAACTTTCAGATATTACCCTCACCTGCATTGGTTTTGTTTTTTGGGGTTTTTGTTGTTGTTTTCGTTTGTTTGTTTTTAGATCCACAGAACATGAGAATCCTTTTTTGACAAGCCTTGGAAAGCTGACGCTCTTCTTTCCCTCTCTATGTGAAGGATGTATTTAAATGAATGCTGGTCAGGGGGACATTTATCAGCTCTGAGTATCGGGGTGCTTCACTGTCTAATAATTGCCATGTGAATGTTGTTTTTGGCTGTAAGGCTTTGTCACTAAAGATTTTTACTCCATGTTTTCATAATCAAAGGTCATAATATGTATAGACATGCTTTGTAGTGAAGTATAGTAGCAATAATTTCTGTACATGATCAAGAGTTTATTGCAACAATTCTTTTCCTGTTCTCTTTTTTTAAGGGTTAGCATTAACAAATGTCAAGGAGTAGCAAAGTCAACACAGATTTTAGGAGGACTTAACAACAGGCACAGATCTGTGATTCTTTGGAAGTGACACTATTGGATGTGATTCTAAAGTATTTTTATTGAACATTGTCAAATTTGTAAGCTTCATAGGGATGGACATAATATTTATATTAATGCCCTTCTTATGTGTTACCATAGATGTGAAACCTTATATTGTCTTTGAGAATGTTAAATTGAGAACTCTGTTAACATTTTATGGATTGGCGCATATTCTATTACTGCAAGAAACATTTGATTTTCAGCACAGTGTAAAAGTTCTTTAAAATGCATACATCTTTTTTTTCCTAATTCCATTTTGTTTTGAAGCACATTTTAAATGTAGTTTTCTCATTTAGTAAAAGTTGTCTAATTGATACAAAGTCTGAATGATTATTCTGTGTTTTGTTTTACAGTGAGACATGGTTGTAGCCATGCTCTATTAGGTCACACACACCTTTATCTAATGTGATTTGATAACTACTGAAATGTAAGTCAGATGGTTGCTAATAGGCTTTTAGATGTCATTTCTCAGTAGTCAGTATTTGAGGTAGCTCAAGAAGATAAGCGTTAATCTCAGTGCTAATTAATCCACATTAATCAGTATCTTATAGACTGGATTTTTATGAAAACTTATTCAAATTAAAACTAAAGAAAAGTGAGCAAATTAGTATTGGTTGTTAAAGAATAGACATTTACTATGCTGAAAAATTATTCAGATGTCTTAAAACTACAGCATCTCATAGACAAATAAATACTTGGTACATTATGTGTACCTAAACAGTATATCACAGCTGAACACATGTAACTATCACAGGTTATTATGCTAATTTACTGGCAAAAAATCACAAAGACAAAAAAATAAAGTACAGGCTGCTTTAAATCCTAGAATTTGTGATGCAGCCAGGAAGATTTCTGAATTTGAAGCCTGGTCTACATATTAAGACCTGTCAGGGGCGGGAGGATTGCGGGGTCTGATCACTAGATGAAAAGTTTTAAGTGCTGAGCAAATGCAATGAGGTTTTTAATTGAGGGTTGTCACTGTTTTTGTTTGTTTTGAGACAGAGTTAAGTCTAGATTGGCTTAAGCTCTAGTCTTCCTGCCTTAGCTTCCTGACTGTAGGTGTGACCTACAAGGCTAAATCATCCATGTTAAGTATGTAACCCTCTGATAAGTGCTAGCTACCAAGAATGCCTTGGAAACTTCGTTTCTTACAGAACTCATGAACCTACTCAAGCACAGCAAATCAAACTACTTGCTACTTCAGAAGTTTTGTGGTTTTGGTTGTTTTTGTTCTTTTTTAAGATTTACTTATTTAATGTGTGTGAATCTTTTGCCTGTGTGTATGTGTGTGTTCCACATGTGTGTCTGGTGCCTATAGAAGTCAAAAGGTGTTGGATCCCCAGAACTGGAATTATGGGTGGTTGTGAGCCACATGGGTACTGGGAATCGGGATCCTCTGCAAAAACAACAAAGGTGCTCTTGGTCACTGCATCATCTCTCCAGTCCTTGCCTTTAAAATCTCATTGTGAGACCCAGTGTCCCACTCCAGCAGGAAGCCTAGGCATAGTGGCACACAAGTCGGAGGCATTTGAGCCTAAACTGGGTTATAGATCAAGACACTATCTTTTTAAAAAATCACTAACAGCAAAATAAGCTCTTCTTAGCCAAATGTAGTGAGACCTGCGATCTGATTCTTAGAAGTTGGAGGCAGGAGGATCTGGAGTTCAAGGCCAAGCTTCAGCTACACAGTAAGTTTGAGGCCAGCCTGAGCTAAGAGAGACCCTGTCTTAAAATAACCACACATGTTCCAGGGGTATGGTAGGGGCAGAGACCAGGACTGAGAATAACTGACTATTTAGTGCTCCACTCTAAACCCATTTAGCAACCCAAGTCTCGAACATAGTGAAAGGGGCAGAAGGATGGAGAACAGTGCTATTAAACACTGTCTTCTCTGGACATGAGATGACGTTATACTCATGGACTCTGGTTATCTGCATGAATTGAGCCTGTTAGCATTTCAGCCTGGATGGTTGATGGACTCACAAATTCCCACTCCTAACTGAACTTGCTGGCTCCTGGGGGTTAGGTCTTTCCTTTAGTGGCGTGGCCAGTGCTCCGTTGCCCCTGAGCCAGTGATTAGGGCCACATGCATATTCATGACTTGAAGTCAGCGAGTCAAAACAAAAAAATGGGCATGGGACAAAGAGTCCAGGAGGAGAGAGGGTAATGTGATGAAAATGATTGTAAACACATTCATAAATTGTCAGTGAGTATTTTTGAGACTTAATCTACCAGGATAAAAGTCTGACTCTTATAACAGATCTGTTGACCTCACTGAAGTTAATTCAACTAGTCACCAGAGGCCTAGGTTACAGTTCCTTACCATACTGTAATGTCTGTTTTATTAGAAAGCTAGTCTTTCAGCTTTTGAATTTCCTATACTTTGAATTGTCAGTTATTCCTCACTGAGAGCCACGTGTATTGGGTGCTTCTTCAAGACTATATAGAATTTGACCTTAACCTTTAGGTGCCTAACAAGCTCTGAGGCAGAGATTATTGTTTATTACTTAAGTATTTCCTAGAGTGATGTTTGGCATGTCAGAGACCTACACATTTAATGAATCACAGATTTCAAAAATGACTGCTCACATTGCTGTTGGCACTTTGACCCCATAAAGAAATTTACAACACAGTTCCAATTGCCCTTTATTCTTACGTCTCAATAATACTGTCGTTATCTCTGGAGGTTTTGAATTTGTACTGCCAAGTAAATGGTTCATTGTGAGTGAAATGGATTTATTAAAAATTGCTGCGGATCCCCGAGTAGCTTGCTGCGGGATCCCCCGCAGGCAGGGGCAGTAGGTCCCGGAGCAGCCAATCCAGGGCAGGGCAGAGGCACAAGATCTTGTAAAAACTGGAATGGAGCCTGGATTCTCTGAAAGAACTGCCGTTGCCTTCAGTCACCTCTCCAGCTCTCCGGGACTTGCTCTAAATACTTAGTCAAATCCAAGTCTCAGGTATGAAACAAGAAGGAAACCAAGAATGCTTTCTCTGTGCCTGTCCAACATATGAGGTTTGTCCCAGGATGACACAGTAAGTACCAGCTCACATTCATGTTTCCTTTGACATGCTGAGGTCACATCATCTGCCTGCATTTACACTGCTGGTAAAAGATGTCCTACTAATGCCCATGTGTCAAGGCCCTGCTGCATCAGCGAGTGTTGCGTGCAGGGAATTCCAGCAGAGTCACGGGGTGGCGGCCGGGTGTGGGGGCGTGTCTTGTGAGTGGCAAGCATGGTCCAGTGTTAACGGAGCCTCATCTGACTCTTGAATCTCACATCTGTCTCTACGGAGCTCAACTGAAACAAGAACTCAAACTACCTGGCGTGTTCATATTATACACAAAGTAGTGGGAACATTCATGAAGGCCTCACTGGTTGTAACCTTTTAAGACAAAATATTAGCAATAAATTACTTTTTGATACCTTTATTTTGATAAATTGACCTTAATATAAAAATATAATAAAATGTAAATTTGATTATGATTATTTGAAGAACACTGTCAGACATGGTGGTACACTTGAGAGGTGAAGTTAGTTCAGGGTTATCTGCTATGTATGAACTGAGCGGAGGACATCCTTGACTACACAAAACCCAGTCTTGCAAAAAAAAAAAAGTGTGTATGTGTTTCATTTTTATGGTTTTCAAGACAGGGTTTCTCTGTGTAGCTTTGGAACCTGTCCTGGAACTCTAGATCAGGCTGGCCTCAAACTCATGGAAATTTTCCTGCTTCTGTCTCCCGAGTGCTGAGCTTAAAGGCCACCACCGCCCAGCTGTGTGTGTGCTTTCTGTACCTCTCATGGAAAAGGCTCTGTCCGCAACTGTTTTTGCAGCAGCATAGCGCTGTTCATGCGCTGAATATTCATTGCTCAGTAAATAACATTTTATACTAATGGCTGGAAATTAGTGATCACAAGAATCCCTGACACCCAAGAAAAAGACAGCAGAGAAGGATCCTTATGAAAAGCCACAGGAATGAAACCTGAAGCAGCCACTTCCCTAAAGATTTTCTTGACACATTTATTCACCCAAGGGCCATGGATTTAAGGGGAAAAAAGTGAAGAGCTAGGCGGTAGTTTCGCACTCCTTTAATCCCAGCACTTAGGAGGCAGAGGCAGGAGGGTCTCCTGTGAGTTCGAGGCCAGCCTGGTCTAGAGTGAGTTCCAGAACCTACGGAAAATACAACAAAAAACCAACTCAAAGACCTCCCTCCTTCAGGAAAGCTTAGTACTCAAAAGTTTCCCTTGTAGGTTGACTTGTGTGTTAATAAGCTTTCGGTGTTCAGAGTTGCTGAGCAAGAAACTAATAACTGGCAAGTACTGCCAACAGGCAAGGCTAAGATGCTCTTAAATGCTATAATCGGAAAAGAAAATCATAGACGCAATGTCAGCCATCCAAATGATTTAAATCACGTTCTTTTCTGTAATATGCAGGCAGTAAGACATGAAAGAGACTAACAACATGGAGAAACGGATGCAGAAAAAAAAGCAGATTCTGCATTTAGAGGGATGGGACAGGCGAGAATTTATTAACCATCTTGCTACATCCCAGATCTCTCAAGAAAACACAGGATTTAACTGTGAGCGGGAGAACACACAGTCCTCTCACTAAAAGTCACTTTATTCACACCCTTTGAGCTAGCTTAGCCGGGCTCTTCCTCCTTTCACACACTTGTGCACACGCGGTTCTGGGGCGGCAGTGTTCTTTCAAGCTCACAAGTGCAAGGCGCGTGCAGGAAAACGGGTGGGGGGGGGGTACGACGGGAGGCCCCGGGCCTGCAGGGCAGCACGGTGTCGTCTTTGTCCCGTCCGGGGCGGGCACCTCAACGGTTCCACACTGACACGTTCGCGGGAAAGCGCGATTCCAGCGAAGAGGTCCATAGAGCTAGAGCCGAATAACGGCAGAAGACCAAGCGGGGGCGGGGCTGGGCGGAGCTACAGAGCCTGCTCCGCCCCCAGCTGTTCCCGCGCTCCGATTGGCTCCGGCGGCCGCGTGCTCCCGGCTGGGCAGCTGGAGGCTGGAAAGCGGGTGCTGCTCCGTGCGAGCGACGGGCCAGCAACCGCCTGAGGCTGCGGGTTGAAGCGGAGGCCACTCGCTCTTCGCCGGTCTGCGCAGGTACCTTCGCCCTCGCTGGGCGGGCGGACGGCCTTGGTGACGAGTCCCGAGTGTCGGCGGCGCCTGTGCCCTCCGCTCTCTCCCGCAGTCCGGCGTGAGGAGGCCCCTCAGCCCTCAGCGGCGCATCCGGGCTTTCTCGCGGCCTCGAGCCCCCTCCCCGGCTCCGAGGGCCCAGACGCGGGTGAGCTTCCCGGAGGCGGGGACCAGAGCTGGCGGCGCGGGGCGAGCGGAGGGAACCCCTGGAGGGACCGGGCCGCCCGGCAGGTAGCGCGGGCTGCACTGTGGGGCTGAGGGGATGCGAGTCCTGCCGCTTGGTCCCGTGTCCCTCGCTCCCACCCCGAATCGCATCGCAGTATTGAGTTCTGAGCTGTCCTGTCTCATCGCGACACCCCAGATGTAGGATAGGTCCCCCGCCTGCCTATCCCCAGTCGCCAGGGATTGGATTTTCATACAGAAAAACGATTTATATTTTATGATTCTGTCGCCAGATGCCCTTTATCCTACGCCCAGAGAGAACTTTCTTCAGATGTCTACAAAGTTCAGGTGTATTTACAAAAAACGGACAAAATCCCAAACCTCACAAACTCAGACATGGTCTTTATGAATTCTACTATGGCTTTTCAAATGTCGCTAGAATGCATGCAGGCGAATTGAAGGATTCTTACCTTTTATGTTGTGAGACTTTGCCTTGAGTGACGCAAACCAGCGTCTACTATTCCCAGATAGGGAGCTGATGGCACAAAAGTAGGGGTTCCACCCGAGTCCAGGTTGAGCAGCATGCATGAATCAAGCTGCATCCCTGCAGAGCCCACCCCAGCGCGGCTGATGCCTGGGAAAGCGGCACAGGCGATCCGTTTCCTCCCGCTGCAGTCCTGCTGCTTCGGAACCGCGGGTCGGGGGCAGGTGGATCCGGGGGCAGGTGAGTCTTGGGCGGCTTCCCTCTAGGATGGAATGTGTGTGTTTGGAGACATGACTACACAATACCTATTGACCGTAGTTTCTTACCCACCCACCACCCACCACTCCCTTTTTCTCTAGAGAAATGCCCATATTTTAACTTGCCTTTGATTCTTTTCCTCTGAGCAGAGCTTAGCCAAAGAGATCCCGCAAAGTGGAATTTTACACACTCAGTGGCATAGACAGCTTGTCCTTACGTTCTTGCCCCACGACTTTTCTTCATTCTTTTTTAACTTCAGTGAATATCTGTTTGGGAATTTCAGACGTTCCCTTTTCCTGTTTTCTCAAGTTTTAGATGAAATAGTCTGATACTCGAAGTTTGCTTTTTCTTATTTACCATTGGTTTCAGTGGTAAAGATATTATTTGAAAGTCACTTACCACTGAGTCACACTTAACTCGTGAAAAATGGGCCACAATATTCTGTATTCTGGTATGTTTTACCACTGAACCTAGCCCTGCCCCCACTCCATTGGCGAATCTTAATGACTGCTTAGTTTTTTCCAGAAGACAGATGAAGGAAGCAAAATAAAAGGCAAGAAATTACTGTAGAACTAATTATAATTTCTTCTGTTTAATTTTTGTTGTTGGCTGATTGGTTCTGTTTGTTTACTTTTGAGATAGAGTCCAAGTTCCTCTCAGACTAAAGACATAGCTGCAGCTACAACTGTTTTTCTCCTTTCCTATCCTCTGCCTAGTGTTCTCTCCCTCTCCCCCCCTCTCCCTCCCTCCTTTCTGTTCACACATACACACACACGATTATTTTGCCTGCATGTGTTTTCCTGGTGCCCTCAGAGACCAGAAGAAGGCACCTAATTCCCTGGACCTGGAGTTAGATGCTTGTGAGCCCCAGTGAGTACCGAACAGTGAGTGCTCTTAACTGCTGAGCCATCTCTCCAGCCCCCTCTGCCTACTTCTTTATCATCTAACCCTACACTGCTTAATACTGTAGCCACTAGGCACATGTGACCATAAACACTTATTTGGCTGGGTGCAACAGCAATTTTTTTTACTTAATTATAAAATGGAAGGAGTGTAAAATATTCATTCATACACTACTTCATTTTTATAGGACTACATTTTGAGTTATTTTAGTAATTAACATAAAATTGAGATATGTATAAAGTATCAAAAATGTATCAGACTTGGGGCTGGAGAGATGGATCAGAGGTTAAGAGCATTGCTCTTCAAGTAGGTCCCGGGTTCAATTCCTAGCACCCACGTGGCACCTTGTAACTGCCTGTACCTCCAGTTTCAGGGGATCTGACACGTTCACACAGATACAGGCAAAACACGAGTGTGCATGAAATAAAAAATGTTATTTTTTTAAAATGTACCAGACTTAAAAGATTTCGGATGTAAAATATTTTATTAATTTTATATTGATTAGATGTTAAAAATTACATGTTTGATCTATTTGGCTTTATTAAAATTAACTTTGTTATTAAAGTTAACTTTGTTTTTAGCACTGAGACTTGAGCTCTGCTCTCACACATGCTAGGCAAGTAGTTTCCCCTCCTACTGAGCAATAGCCCAGCCCTCATATTCTCTCTCTGTCTCCTCTCTCTCTCTCTCTCTCTCTCTCTCTCTCTCTCTCTCTCTCTCTCTCTCGATCTTTTTGTTTTTCAAAACAGGGTTTCTCTGCAGTTTTGGAGCCTGCCCTGGAACCCGCTCTGTAGACCAGGCTAGCCTCGAACTCACAGGATCCGCCTGCCTCTTCCTCCGAGTACTGGAATTAAAGGCATGCACCACCACTGCCCTGGCCATGTTTTCTTTTTAAATACAGCTTAAAAATATAAAACTATGTATGTGACTCTCAGATTGAGCAGTATTGGCAGTATCCAGCTAGTTTAGGTGTAGTTTCACCTTCAGAAGGAGAGTTTCTGAGAGCAGAAAGGAATCTGTACATAACTTGCTGAATGCCAAGGGAAGTGTGACTGCTTGGGTCACTATGAGTCAGAGATTCAGAGGTTTGCATTAGAATCCTGAAGTTGGTCCAGCTTGATCTGCTTAGTGATTTCTAGGCCAGCTAAGAAGTACATAGTGAGACCCTGTCTCAACAAAAACCACACACACACACACATATCAGTGAAAATCATACAAAGCACATATGCTAAAACTATTCAGAAAATACCAATAATTGCTTATTGAATATGGCAACTTTGTGGCCAAGGAAGACCTACCAGGAAAAAGGAACACTATATAAAATATATATAAGCAAGTTTCAGATTTGATTTTGAGTTCCAGAATAACCAAGGCAAAATGAACAATAGGGAGTATGCCATTACCCAAGGAGGCCTAGCATTTCTGAGCACTGTAAGAACAATTTCTAATATGACTTGGTATTACAAATAACATTTTAATAGCAAGATCAACATTTTGTATGATTGCATATGGTAGTAGCCAGCTAGTTTTTATATATAAATGAGTGGATGTGGTCAATAATTTTGTATTTGTATTTTTTTATAGAAATCTCGGGAAGCCACAATGCGGCACAATCAGATGTGTTGTGAGACACCACCTACTGTCACTGTTCATGTAAAATCAGGTTCTAATCGGTCACATCAAACTAAAAAGCCTATCAATCTGAAGCGTCCTATTTTCAAAGATAGTTGGCAAGCATCTGAAAAAAATGCACATAATAACAAATCTAAGCGGCCCAAAGGACCCTGTCTAATTATACAACGTCAGGAAATGACTGCTTTCTTTAAATTATTTGGTAGGTGTAAGACATTTTAATAGTGCTAAGTACTGAAGAATCCTAGTGTAAATCTCTTTTGTCAGGTTTTTACAATGTAGTGTTTATACCAGCCAAGTAAAGGAGCCCTGCTTTTGCAGTGCGTAGACAATAAAATAAGAGATAGAATAAGAGATGTTTCCTGATAAGGACTCAGATCACAGCACAGTCTAATAGTGGTGCACAGCAGACCCTCCTTGACTATAGAGGAAGGCTATATGCGTGCATGCAAACTTGGTAAGATGTAAAGAATATCAGAGCTAAAAGATGAGATAAAATATATAAGGAATGTAAAGAGAAGTTATAAAGATTTCTCCAACCAGAATCTAGAATGTTAATATGGTCCCATTGCTCCTTAGTAAGAAGAGAGCAAAACCTTTCTTTACTCTCTCTCTCCTCCTCAAGACCTTTGTGTTAGAAAGGGTCCCATGTATGCCAGGCTAGACTTAAACTTTTTATGTACTTAAGGATAACCTTGTGTTTTTAATCCTCCTGTCCTCATCTACCAAATGCTCAGATTAGAGGCAAGCAAAATACCCGTTTTGTTGGTCATCTACAGTCCTCACCCCACAAGGTTTTTGAGTATGCCTAATTGGTCATGAGAAAACACCTGATTCTACCATTTTAGGTAACTTATGAAATAGAAACAGAATTAACAAACAAATTAATTCTCAGAAAATAAAGTTATTCTTAGAAGTTTCCAAATATCAATTACAATAATGCAATTCATAACATACAAAATGAATAAAAAGAACTTTTTGCTTTGTTACTAAAACAAAGGGGATTTTCCTAGATTAAATTCTGGTAGTTTTCAACATATTTTGAGATTATCTATTTTAATGCTTTCAAATCAAAACAAGGGTTTTTTTACAATTTACCTTTTGGGTGTTGCTTGCTTTCTGTTGTGTTTTTGTTTGAGACAGAGTCTCGTCAAGTAACTCTGACTGGCCTGGAGTAGAACTTGAATTCACAGAGACTTGCCTGCCTCTGTTTCCCAAGGGCTGGGATCAAAGGCTTGCACCACCACTCTGTGGGAGATGTTATTCTTCAAGATTTTGTTGATCGTTTTATCCTAAAAATCGGTTTTCTCAAAATTAAATGTTAATTATAAATCCAAGTAAAACTTGAAGTTATTTATATAGACATAGCTATATTTTTATTTGAGTAATAAGTAAACTAGAGAGGAAATAGGGGAAAGGGTCCAAAATGAAAAATACCCAAATGAATAATACTCAAAATGAAAAAAGGAGGAAGTAATTGAGAAAAGTGATGCACTTAGAACAGTATTAAGCTATCATTTCCTAGAAAATGAATTATCTTACTTCAGATTCCACTTCTGCCTCTTACCATGTACTCTGCAAAAGAAGGAAGAGCTGGAGTTTCCCAACATGCTGTTGGATGCTCAAAAATGATACATTATTCACTTTAAAAGTTGATTATATATATAGTGAGGCAAATTAGATGGGAAATAGATAGTCATTGCAATAATAAATTTACTTTAAAAACTGACAACTAAACCTAGTAACTATTTTTACTTAATTTCCAAACATAGCTTTATAATGTCCCAATACAGAAATTATCTCTTCAAAAGGAAACATTTTAAAGAAAATAAGTCATAGTTACTTTTTGTTTTAGATGACGACTTAATTCAAGATTTCTTGTGGATGGACTGCTGTTGTAAAATTGCAGACAAGGTAAACTGGAAACAGTATAATCATAAGCTATCATTATTGTGTTACTAGACCATTAAAATTTTTATGATACCCAATAAGAATTTTCTCCTTCATTATGTTTAGAAAAATAGCCTATGTCTTTCCTTCAGAGCAGAATTCTTTGGTCATATTGTGTGTGTGTGTGTGTGTGTGTGTGTGTGTGTGTGTGTGTGTGTGTGAGACAACATGTATGCCATAACCGTTATGTGGAGGTCAGAAGACAATTTACAGAGTTGTTTCTCTTCTTCCACCATGACAGCATGTGCCTTTACCCACTGAGCCATCCCACTGGTCCCCAAAGCAGAATTTCTAAACTTAATTTTTACCAAATCTATTTGGAAACAATATTCAATACTTTGGTGGCAGGGTTCAGGGTAGGGAGTGGGGGTGGAGGGCAAGGATACATTCTCATTCCAGCCCAGCCTAACCTCAAACTTGTAAATTCACAATCACTTTACCTCAGCCTCCTAAGACATGTATCACTGTGGTCAGCTAGATTCAATTCATTTGGTTAGAATTACTACTTTTTTTTTTAAGTAGACCAAAAAGAAGAATTACTACCTTTAATTGGTATGGAGAAAAGTTCTTGAGACTCACTCCATAAGGCAATCTCCTATAAGTTTGTTTATTTTATAAGTAACTCAGACCAAAAGTTCTAATTATCCTTTTAATCAACTTTTATTACTATAATTCAAGAGGCATTAAATTACTGTATATAAAATAATTTCTAATAGTATAAATAACCTTTATTCCATGTTGGCTTCCTTACTGCTGGGTAACAACCACAGATTAGCAACTATCACATACTTTGAAAAACACTAGACAAGTGAAAATTGAGAATTATTCTATAGAGCAAATGGCTTGTGGGGTGTAAAAATGGCTTAACAATTAAAAGCACTTGGTGCTCTTCCAGAGGATCCAAATTTGGTTCCTTCTACCCATATCTGGCTGCTTACAACTACTGTAACTCCAGCTCTGGACATGTGCATGAGTGTACACACACGTGCGTGCAACCATTCCAACATGACACAATTAAAGTATCTTTAAAATAATGGATCATTCTCTTTTGGGTTAGTATACAAAGAAATCAGTTTCATTGTGATATTATCATATGTGTGTATCATTATACATTTTTCCCCCTGAGACATGGACTTAACTATGTAACACTAGCTGTCCTAAAACTTCCTTTGTAGACTTGAACTCAAAGATTAAAGGCATGTACCCAGATGCCCATCTACTTTATTCTTATTCATATCTCTCATTTCCCACCCCTTAGTTTAACATGTTCTTCAGTTAGATATCAATATTCCATAAACTGTTTAGTTTATTAGGAACAGCGATGATCAATGTTCTTTTATGGATACATTTCAATATTTGTTTCTATATTTTTGAGTAAGCTGAAGAGTTGCCATTTTATTTTTGTAAATACCAATTTAGACTGAGCAGTCATATATTAAGTTCATTAACAGTTAAAATATAAATCAATAAATCAAGGAAAGTATAGAAGATTAGTTTATGATTAAGTCTAAGGATTGAAATGAAGGCCTTTGTTTCATACTTAAATTGCCAAAGATAAAAAGTTTTAGAAGTTTTTTTTTTTTTTTTAATTTGGGAGGCTGGAGAAATGGTTGAGTGGGTTAAGAGGACTTCCTGTTCTTTCAGAGGACCTGAGTTCAGTTTCCAGCACCCGTACTGAGTGACTCATAACTGATTGTAGCTCCAGTTCCAGGTGATCTGATGACTTCTGGTCTTCTCAGGCATCTGCACTTATATGCACACAAGCACACAATTACAAGCTAAAATATTTTTTAAAATAAAATTAATTTTGGAAAGTTTTTTTTAGAAACTTTATGTGTTTGGGTAATCAGCTTGTTTGTATGTCTGTTCACCATTTGCATACCTGGTGCCTTTGAGGGTCAGAAAATTGTGTCAGAGCCCCAAGATCTGGAGTTACAGACAGTTGTGAGCCCCCATGTGGGTGCTAGGTATCAAACTCCGGGTCCTCTGGAAGAACAGACAGCGCTGTTAATGGCTGGGGCATCTCTGCAGCCTCTCGAAACTAATTTAGAAAAACTAAAGCACACACAACTTAAAGACAAAGACCTTCCATGTGGCTCTTAAAAGTACAGCCATCATCAACGTGGCCATTCTTCTTTCTTTTAACCCTTCTTCCCAGGAATGTAGATTATTTTGAGGTAAATCTGAGGCATGCTAACTTTTTTGTTATTGTTTTTTGAAACAGGGTTTCTCTCTATAGCCCTGGCTGTCCTGGAACTCACTCTGTAGACCAGGCTGGCTTTGAACTCATTGAGATCTACCTGCCTCTGTCTCTCAAGTACTGGGATTACAGGTGTGCGACACCACTGCCTGGCATATGCTAACATTTTCTCATAAACATTTGATGTGAGGTTGGCAGGATACATACACACTACACCAACTGCTAAAGGTGCCTAATGCAAATCCTGAGTTGATCCCGGGATTCTCATGGTGGAAGAGAGAATGGAATGGGCTTCCGTCATTTGTTCTCTGATTGCCTCATCTGGATGGCGGCCTCACACATGACAACACTGATAAATAAATATATATAAATAAGTGTAAAGATAAAATATGTCTCCAAAATGTAATCTTTAAAACAATCTCAGTGTCAGTTTCCAAATAAACAGTAATATGCACAAATCCTCAGTTTCTTTAGAGTTGTGGTAAAAAATAGTTTGAGTGCTTTAATGCTGGTGGACAGCAGGGGGCAGTGTTTGAAAAATAACAGACCCGGAATACTTAATAGTATGTCAGGAATCCTTTCCTTGGAAATTAGGGAAACACTTGCAATCATCTTCTTATACAATGCCCTCACTAGATAATAAATAAGTATGAGAAATAAAAATTCATATTTTAACTTGTTTCAAATTTACACCATTAGATCTTGGCATACGTTCTAATAGGATAATTGTGTGTCTTTGTGATAATACATTTAAAATGTGTTTTCTCAATGAAACTAAGCCTTGCTATTCAAATTTCTGAAGTTATTTAGAAGTTATCCTTACATATTATTTTTTAAAGTAACTATTGGTGAATCTAGGTGAAAGATATTTGGTTACTCATTGAACTATTTCAGCTTCTCTATAAGATTGAAATTTAAGTTAGAAAAAATGGAGTTTTAATTTTAGAATGCATCAGCTATAATAAAATTTGGAAATACACCTAGATAAATATAATAAATTATCAGTAACTCTCACACTATTCAAGTGGATTAATTACAGGAGACAAAAAAAAATAAGTGCTCAGGTGATTGCATAAAGATTAATAGTGCCTTACACTTTAGCTTACTATTTTATAGCAGTTGTATTGCAGAAAGCAAACCATTAATATTAATTTCTAATTTTTCCTTATAGTATCTTTTGGCTATGACCTTTGTTTATTTCAAGAGAGCTAAATTTACTATAAATGAGCATACCAGGATAAATTTCTTTATTGCTCTGTAAGTATGCTTTCTACTTAAATGAATTTTATTGCTTATTTACAATATATGTGATTTATAATTTAAAGCAGAAACATTAAATTTTTATGGATATTGTTAATAGGCCTTCTTGTGTATGAAAATTGCATATATTTTACTTTAGTAGGATAGTTTTATGTTCTTTTCCCTCTCTTACATTACATGCCAGAGATTTATTGTTCACTACCCCACTTCAGGTTGTATTGTGTCTTCTACATTTTTCACAATGCTCTCATATAAATGTCCCCAATTCTCTTTCTCTTCCTCTCCCATCCCCCACTGGTTTTTGTTGTTGCTTTGTGGTTATGGTTTTGGGTTTCGTGGGGATTTTATTTTTGAGACAGGGTTTCTTTGTGCAACAGCTCTGACTGTTCTGGAGCTCACTCTATAGACAGACTGGCCTGGAACTCAAGAGATCTATCTGCCTCTCTCTTCCAAGTTTGGTAAAGGCATGCATGCACCACCACTGTCCAGCGTGGATATGTTCCTTGTAAGTCTATATCTAAAAAATAGGAATTATTCATATTTAATACTTTTGTGTTCACTGATAGTCTCATCAAACACTGAATATTGTTTATTCTCCAGATTTTCTGGTAATAGCACATTAATTAATGATAGCCTTGTTATCTGTTAAGCTGCTTTAATGATGTGGTTTTCTAATTCATAGGTCATAATTTAGTAAGGAAAAGTACAATTTCAGGGCTGGAGATATAACTTAATGGTGGAATATTTGTCTGGTATGCACAAAACCCTGGGGTCAGGCCTCAGCAGTGCTTTAGAATAAAGAGGAAAAGGTTAAATTTAAGAATACATCTTGGGTTGGGTGGTGGTGGCACATGCCTTTAATCCCAGCACTTGGGAGGCAGAGGCAGGTGGATCTCCATGAGTTTGAAGAAGGGAGTTCTAGAATAGCCAGGACTTACACAGAGAAACCCTGTCTCGAAAAACCATAAAGAAGAAGAATTTAAAAAAAATACATTTTGGCTCCAGGACAGTCAGGGCTGTTACACAGCAAAATTCTGACTCAAAACAAACTAATAAAATAATACATAATATAGTTTGAAAGTTGTGGTATTCGAGGAAGTAGCGTGGTTTCCCTGGTATACAGGATGTCCTGGTTTCAATTACTAGTAAACCTCCCCCACTGCAAAAAAAAAAGAAAAAAAAAGACAAAGACTTTTTTTTCTACCCTCTCCATGGATACAGCAATGCAGCTGGAATGTACATGCGTAATTTTAAGTGTTAAACTAGGAACTGCATACTAAGCCATTTCAGTAGTGGGGGCTGGAGAGATTGGCTCAGTGGTTTAAGCACAACCACCTGTAACTCCAGTTTCAGAGAGCCTGATACTCTCTTCTGGCCTCTGGGCATTAGGCACACACATGGCTCACATACAGGCAGGCAAAACACTAAAACACATAGAAACAAATCTGAAAGAAAGACATTGGCGTGCCACAATAGCTCTCAGCACCGAGGAAGAAGTTTGTGCTCAAAGTCTGTTTAGAATCGTTTAGAATCAGAGTTTTTAAAGAAATCAAACCAGAGGAGCATTATCTATGCATTAATTAGAAAGACACTTCCAGAATGTAGGAAATGTGATGGTTGCTAAACTGGAAGAATTTAATAGTAATAGCTAACATTGAGTATTATTCGTCAGTCGCCACAGCTTATATATTTATACATTTAGTTTTCTTACGAAATGTATTCTTTTTGTTGTTGTTTGGTTTTTTTCCAGACAGGATTTTCCTGGCTGTCCTAGAATTCATTTTGTAGACCAGGCTGACCTCTGCATCTGAGTTAAATGAAATGCATTTCTTATTTCTGATGTAGAAATAGAATTTAGGAAGATAAAGCACTTTGCAAGATCGCAGAAGTTAGTAAGGAAGCCAGGTTTTGTAGTACACACCTGTATTCCCAACATTTAGGAAGCTAAGGCCAGAGAATCATGAGTTTGAGAGCAGCCTGGCCTCAAGAAGAAAGAAACAAACAAAAAAAGGAGCAGAGTTGCTGAGGTGCAAATTCATGTATATATGGTATTTCCAAGAGCTAGAGTCAAGCCTTGACACTGTTAAATTGCAATTTATATGTTTCAGTATTTTATTTTCATATAATATCATACATATTCTGTAGTTTTCTTCACCTGATAACTAAAGATAAACCAAAAATGACTTTAGTGCAAATCTAAGTAAAAGTCTGAAATTGAATGTTTCTCTTGTTTTGTGGTAATAACCATTAAAGGGCAATTAACTTTTATTATGTAGTAATCTTTAAGATTGCACTATAGATTGTATTATATTTGAAGTAGCATGAATTATAATTTCCATCTTGTGTCTGATCATGTTTTCTGTAGGCTAACTCAGTATTTCTTTTCATTAAGCATGTTTTTTAGCCAGTTTTAAAGCTTGTATTTTGTATGTAGTCATGTAATGTTTCCTTATTATAGTCTTGTAACACCCTGAATTTCATTTTCTTTTCTTATTATTTTTAAAGATGTATTTATTTATTATGAATAGTGTTCGCCCTGCATGCATGCATGCAGGCCAGAAGAGGGCACCAGATCTCGTTACAGGTGGTTGTGAGCCACCATGTGGTTGCCAGGAATTGAACTCAGGACCTCTGGAAGAACTGCCAGTGCTCATAAAAAATGAGCCATCTCTCCAGCCCTCTTTTCTTATCTTTTGAAATCTTTTGAGATAAGATATTTGTAGCCTAGGCAGGCCCCAAACTCCCTGTGTAGCCAAGGATCTTGAACTGATCCTCCTTTCTTTGCCTTTCAAATGCTGAGATCGCAGGTGCCGGGAACTGAAACCAGGTCCTCTCCAGCTCCTAGACACTTGTTTTTATATTCTATCTTGACTTTGGGATTTGCTTCTCATGGTATCTTGTTTCCTTGTGTGTTTTGTAATGTTTCTGTTGTTAAAGCCTGTGGAGCCTACATTGTTTCTGATTGGAAATTTTAACTTTATTCCAATATTAATTTCTTGCCACTCTTTCTTTCCTCTTTTCTTCCTTCCTTTCATTCTTTTTTCTTTTCTTTCTTTTTTTTTTGGGGGGGGGGGTGGACCAGGGTCTCATGTAGCCCAGGCTGGACTCAGACTTACTGCATAGCTGAGGATAGTTTTGGATTCCCGATTCTTCTGCCTTAACCTCTCAAGTACTAGGATTACAGATGTGTGACAACATTCTAGTTTAATGTGTCTTTTTTGTCTGTTTTTAAGTTATTATCATTGCTTTTGAACAGTTTGGTTAGGATTTACCATGGTATAACTTTCTTGTGATTTCTTGTTTCTTATTCATTAAATTTCTTTGTAGATTTGTAGGTTTTCTGTTTTGTTTTGGGTGATTTTTGTTTTGTTTTTATTGAAGAGATGTTTTGTTGTTGGTTTGTGAGGGGTTATTGTTTCCTTTTTTGCTTTTTCAAGACAGGGATTTTGTGTATGTGTGTGTGTGGCTCTGACTATCTGGTGCATTGTAGACCAGGCTGGCCTTGCACTCAGAGATCCACCTGCCTCGGCCTTCTAAGTGTTGGAATTAAAGGTATGTATCATCATTGGCTGCAGGTTTATAATTTTTGTCAAATTTTTATAAAGGGTCTCCTATAGTCCAGGTTGGACTCAAATTTTCTCTATAACTAAGGATATCCTTGAACTTCTGATCTTTCTGCATCTACCTCTCAAGGACTGTAATTATAGGTATGTGCCACATACCTATTTATGCAGTGCTGGGGATCAAGCTCAGAGGCTCCTGCACACTGTGTGAACATTGTAACAGCCTTACATTTCTAGCCCCATTTTCTTCAAAATTTGGGAAAATTCATCTATTTTATCAATAGTTTTTGTCTACCTGCCACTTTCCAGATCCCAAGTTCACTTTGAATTCATCTCCTGAAGTTTTCACACATTTAACTAATGTTCTATTTCTGACTTTTAATTTTTATCTTTATATTCCAGTTTGGGTAGATTCTATTACTGTACCTTTAATTGACAAATCTCTTCTCCAGTACTCAATCTTCCATTAATCTAGTTCAGTGCTTTTCATCCTACACATTGTGGTTTTCATCTCTAGAAGTACAGTTTCATGCATCTCTTTTTTGAGCATATAGAATAGTTATAGTTGTTCTGTGCCCTGGCTTGACTTGAGAAAGTATGCCTTCTTATAGTTTGCAACCAGGGCTGGCTCTCCTCCTGCCTGTAGCTACATTCTACTGGGTCGCTTACAGGCTTCGATAGAGCTTTGACAAATAAGGTAGGGCTGAAAATGAGACAGAGATGAAATGACCCATAAGCCCCAAATACCTATAGTACAGATATAGTTTGTACAACTAACTGGCATGGTGGCACACACCTTTAATTCCAGCATTTGGGAGACAGAGGCAAGCAGATCTCTGTAAGTTCAAGGCTAGCCTGACCTCCATAGAGAGACTCTGTCCAAAATGTAAAAGTTTTTTGTTGCTGGATAGATGTGGCCTGCACTCACACATACCAGGGCCAAAGAGGAGGCAAATATGGTCTTAGATCCAGAGGGGAGGTGGGAACCAAAAAATAAAAAATAAAAAAAAAGAATAGTTATAGTTGTTTTGATGTCCTTTTGTGTATCAGTTTAGTTTTGGGTTGGTTTTGATTAGTCAGTTTTTCTCTTTATCATGATTTTTGTTTTTCTGCTTCTTTGTATGTCTGCTTCCCCTCAAGTATTTGGCAAAATACCGACTTCCAAATGTGTGTGAAGGAGCTATCTGAAGATAACCTAAAGAAAGATAATCCAAAGATAGACCAAAGAGGGGTTCACAGTCGTTCATCTAGAACAATAAACATAGCTGTTCTCAGGCAGGCAACACCACAGTCCCTGGAGTAGTAAGGGGATGCTTTAGAAAGTCTTGTCTGGGGTCGGCTGAACATACCACAGATTCACCTTAGAAGTCAGAAAACATTCAGACTGTTTCAGGGTAACTTATTGCATCCCAGAACAAAGGTCAAAATTTATAGGAATACAGAAAGACCTAGAAGATGCAACAATTATATCACCATGTTTATTATGTACTTTAGATATGAATACCCTTCATGTGTTGATAAGTCGTTTGTATTTCTTTTTTGTTTTGTTTCGTTTTCTGTTGTTATTGCCCTTATCCATTTCTTTCTTGGGTTGTTGATCCTCTTTGTTAGGTACCTGGCTAATACAGTTGAAGAAGATGAAGAAGAAGCCAAGTATGAAATTTTTCCATGGGCTTTAGGGAAAAACTGGAGAAAACTGTTCCCTAATTTCTTAAAGTTAAGGGACCAGCTCTGGGACAGGATTGACTATAGGGCTATTGTGAGCAGGCGGTGCTGTGAAGAGGTAAGGATTTAAGAACAGTTTCTATTTATAATCTTTGTTTACCTAATTTTCCTTGGTTTATTTTTATTTTTGGTTTTATTTTGCTTCCTTATTTGGGATAGAGTCCAGAAAGTAGCCCAGCCTGGCTTGGAATTCATAGTCCTATTTTGTCCTCCTCAGTTTTAGAATACAAGTATATAGGGCCACTCTGTCCTGCCCACCCACTTTGGTTTTTAATGCTCTTTCTCTCTCTTGTCTTTGTACATGTACAGAGATCATTAACCTCAGTCACTATTATGAATGTATGAGTATATTCTGTTTCTGTATGAATTTTATCAGTTATTAAAATTTGTCATTTCCATTTTTCAGAGCAGACTACTTCTATACTGTTCTTACTGCAGTGTCCCCTTCCTGTCTAAAAGATCACCACTATGCCAGCAAGGGGTTTGTGGACATATTAAAGCATCTTATTCAAGATTATTATAAAATTAGGAAACTAGAGCTGAATAATAATTTCTGCTAAAGTATATGATCAAGTTTTCAACACTGAGGCCAACAGCATGGTGTATTGTAACATGAGGGCTGGCTTGTTGGGGTTTCTGTCCCACCCAGTACCACACAGCTGGCAAGCCCCAAAGAAAATCACATACAGGACTCCATAAGATTATAAACTGATTGGCCATTAGCTCAATCTTATTAACTGATTCTTACATCTTACGGTAACCCATAATTCTTGTTTGTGTTAGCCATGTGGCTCAGTACCTTTTCCAGCTGTCAGCTCACATGTTGCTTCTTCGGTGATCTGGGCAGGAGTGGCGGAGGGAGTTTCCTGCTTCCCAGAATACTCCCATTCTCTTTGCTCCACCTCTACTTTCTGTCTGGTTTTCCCGCCTATACTTCCTGCCTGGCCAATCAGCATTTATTTAAAATATGATTGACAGAATACAGACAATTCTCCCATACCAGTGTATAATTTAAATTTATTTAAAATTATACCTCTTTTCACAAAGAAAATTTGAAAATTTAATTTGAGACAGGGTCTCTATAGCTCTAGCTGTCCTAGAAAATTCTATGTAGAGATCAGTCTACCTTTGTCCTAGAAATGGGACTAAAAGTATGCATCACCGTGCTTAGCATATTGTTTTCTTAATATTGTATTGTAGTAAGATAAATGGTTTTATTTATAAATAAGATTTCTTCCTGGTTTTTTTTTTTTGACACATGGTTTCTCTGTATAACAGTCCTGGCTGTCCTGGAATTTGATTTGTATACCAGGCTGGGATCACAGGCATGCGCCACCACTGCCCAACCCTGTATATATGCAAGGATTCAGAAATAAAAGAGGACAGGAAATAACAGAAAGATTATATAGCAGGCTAAGACTCTATAAGGTTAAATTAAATGGGAAAAGATGAAAAGTTACTTATATGAGGCCTCTAAAATAAAGTTATAAGGTATTAAAAGAATCCTGTAACTTATTTTTATGTCTCTATTTCTTGCGTGTCTTTTTTATGTCTCTACTTGGGTCAAGTGGATAAACAGTAAATGTTGTGGTCCATTCTTATAATCTCAGTACTCAAGGGGCTAAAGAAGGAGGATCTCAAATTCAATGTCAACCTGGACTGCATAGTGAGACCCTGACTCAAAAAAAAAAATAAATGGCAATCTGCATAGCTATTTGCCAACCTTGGGAGTGACAGAAGGCCGTATTTGAACACTATAATTTCCACATATATACTACTCTGCTTCTATTCTGTTCTCTTCCATTCTCTTTGAAAGTATTACATAAAACCTTTCCTCTGTCCAACAGGGGCTTTGTCACAGCCTCCTGATAGCCTTATGTTGCCAAGACATAGGTCAGATTTTAGACTTTAGTCCTCAACTTAGTAGCAGTGTTTGGCACACTTACTTCTCTGATGTACTGTGTTCATGTGGTTTTCCGAGTCAGTTCCCCTTCTCTCATCAGCCTTATTAAGGTGCCTCAGAGCTCAGACCTGGGACCTATTCTTGCCTCCATTGGAATTAACTTAGTAAATGATCTTGTTTATTCCTAAGCCGTTAACTCAGAAGAACTGGAGAGATAGCTCAGCAGTTAGAACCACTTCCTCATCATCCAGAAGACCAGAGCTCAGTTACTAGCACCCATATCTGGCAGCTCACAACCACCTGCAGCTCTTGACTCCTAGGAATCTGGCACACTCTTCTGGTGCCATAGGCATGTGCATATGCAGATACGCATACAAATTAAGATATTTTCTAGAAGACTTTAACATAAAGATCTAAAGGTCATGTGTAATGACTTCCCAATGTTCTGTTTTCTTTATGGCATCTAGCCACCATATAAACTTCTCAATGGTAATTTAGAAGATTCATCTGTATCTTATTATCTTGGGAACTAAGAAGTACAACTATTCTTTCCATTTCTCAGATTAAAAAGTGTGGTTAAATTATGACCTATCTTTCTGTTACTTCTTTAAAAAACATGTGCTCCCCTTTTAGGTAATACAGAGTTACGTAATTTGTCTCTCTTTTCTTTTCTTTTTTTTCTTTTCTTCCTTTCTTGCTCCCTTATTTCCTTCCTTTCTTTATTTCCTTCTCTTTTTTTTGATAGGCTCTTTCTACATAGCGCTGGCTGTTCTGGATCTTAACTATAGATCAGGCTGGCCTTGACTGCACAGGAATCTGCCTGCCTTTATCTCCTGAATGCTGGGATTAAAGATATGCACCACCATACCCAGCCCCTTTTCTTTTAAAAACTACATTTGTGGAACTATTATCTATAACCATATTAACTGCATTGATTTTTATAACTGTCTGCTTTTTCTCACTTTAGTTCAACTTTCCCTTTGGGTCCAATTTAATGAATTACTTTTTATTTTAATTTTTAGACTTATTTTATGCATACGGGTGTTTTATCTGCATGTGTATTTGTGTACCACATGGGTGCCTGGTGCCCGTATCATAAGAGAGTATTAAATTCTCTGAGATATGGATAGTTGTGAGCTACCATGTGCTGCTGGCATCCAGCCTAGGTCCTCTGCATGAGCAACAACTGCTCTCAATAGCTGAATCATCTCTCCAGCTCCCCCATTTTGTGTTCAGCTCCCTTACGTACTTGTTTGAAGAAAGGTGGACCATAATTATATGCAAATAAAATATGCTCTATATATACAAATACACACATGTACATACACACACACATACACACACACATGGCTTTTCCAGAAAAAATTAAGGCTATTTCCTACTGACTCTGATCTTGGTTTCTTACTTTCTTGCCTTTTTAGAGATAGTTCCTTTAAAGTGAAATTAATTTACACTGATGATGGCTTAATTTCTAGACTGATATGGTTCACATATCAGAGTAGCTGCCTATCCACTGAGAGATTCCATCCCAGCGTCTTTCATATATCATAGAGGGTGGCAGTTGACTGGAGAGAAACCTTTTCTTTATGCTGCTTTATGTATTCTGTGTAGTTGCTACAGTATTATCATAGCTAACTTCTGTTAGCTACTACTTGGTTTCAGATTTGTAATTTAGGAAGCAATAGTATTGGACACAATAATACAATGATGGTATGCAAAAGAGACCCTCTATTGGAATTGCTGTAAAGAGCTAAACACTTGCTATAGTTTATGAACTAGATAGAAGTACTCTGGAAGTAAAGCCAGTGTTAGAATGTTACAAAATTATAATTGTCATGACTTAGTAATAAGTTGGCTAGAGCGTATTTGGGAAAGCAAATTATTGATTTCAGATCTGTATAACAGAAAGAATGTTGGATTCTGTAATGTAATAAGAAAGGAAAGAGAATCAAACTGGTTTATTGGAAAGTTAAGGAATTTGGTATTTAAACATAGGAATTTAGGGTAATAACTGGGTAAAAAGAAGCTAAGGAGAATCACCACATAGTAATGATGCTTAAAGCTTAGAATACATTTTAATTGTATAGGTCTTTTATCTTCTTGGTTAAGTTTATTCCACGGTTTTTTAAAATTATTTATTTTATTTCATATACATTGGTGTTTTGCCTACATGTATGTCTGTGAGGGTGTCAGGTCTGGAACTGGAGTTATAGACAGTTCTGAGCTGTTGGGAATTGAACCTAGTTCCTCTAGAAGAGCACTCAGTACTCTTAACCACTGAGCCATCTCTCCAGCCCCTCCAAGGTTTGTTTGTTTGTTTTGAGGAAGTTGTGAATAAGATTGTTTTTCTGTTTCTTGCTCAACTTGTTTGTTATTGGTATATAAGACTACTGATTTTTCTATGTTTTATTAATATATACTGCCAAATTGCTGAAATTGTTTATCAAATCCAAGGGTTTTCTGATGGAATCTTGGGATTGTGGACTTTATGTATGAAACTAGATCATCTAAAAATAAGGATACTTTGACTTCTTTTCATACTTGTATCTTTTTTACTTTCATTTCTTGTTTTACTATTTTGTAGACCTCAAAAACACCAATACCACATTTTTCTCTATTTTGTGCATCTTACGTTTTTATAGAGATGCTTTGAACCATTTATGTACAGCTGACATGAAAGTATGGCTGGGCATAGTGACGCACAACTTTAGTGCCAGTACATGGGAGGCAGAGGCAGGTGGATCTCTGTGACTTTGAGGCCAAGCCTGGTCTCCAGGCCAGTTAGGGCTACATAAAGAGACACTGTCTCAAATAATAACTAATAATAAGTAAAATGGATTTTAAAAAGAAAGTAAAAATAGCAAAAGTATAAAGGAAACTAAAAGGGAGGGTAAGGCACAAAAGAGTGAAGGTAGCAAGGTGTGGGGAATATGCTTAAAGTACATTACATACTCGCATGAAAATGGCATCATGTCACCCAGTGTAAAAAAATTATGTTAAATGTTGTAAAAATTTAAGGTGAAAACAATCCTCACAGTCTTTGAGAGCCTATCAGTCATGGCTCTAATCACTGCACATGAATTATCTCACAGCTAGGAAGTAGCAGATGAGGGCGCCTAGCTTCTCCGAGAACACACAAATCAAAAGTCATACTAGGACAAAAGAAGAGAATATTCTAGACATGAAAAAGTGCTGAGGAAAAGGCATTCACTAAAAACAAAAGAAATAAACTGGGTGGTGGTGGCTCACACTTTTAATCCCAGCATTAGGAGGTAGAGGAGGACGATCTCTGTGAGTTTGAGGCCAGCCTGGTCTACAGAACGAGTTCCAGGACAGCTCCAACACTACACAGAGAAACCCTGTCTCAAAAAAAAAAAAAAAAAAATTCTTGGGGAGTCTCACTCGGTGGTATTGTGCCTGCTTAATTTGCATGAAGCACTGGGTTCAATCCCCAAAAATACAATCGTAATAGTTATCTAATATTCTACTTCCTCGCCTTATGAAGTTTTGTACAATTAACATTCTCATTTGCTTCAGTTTTCTTTTATGTATGGCACTTTATTAATAGTTTTAGTTGAAAACTTAAAGGAAGGATATAGCAGTATACACCTGTAAACCCATCACTTAGAAGGTGGACAAGAAGACCAGAAATTCAAGAATAAGGTCATCTTTAGCCATATGTGAGTTCAAAGCCATCCTGAGTTATATGAATCATAGTTTCTGTCCTTCCCATCTTCATGGGTGTATATATTTTATATATATTTATTTTATAGATTGATTACATTTTATCTATATATGTGTATATAAATACACACATAAAATTTAAGAAACTTGCATAGAAATTTGTGAAGTGGCTCAGTGGTACAGCACTTGCTTGGTAAAGCCACACCACCACCATTTGCTGAGTAAACTAATCTAGTAATATTTTATTTTCCTAGCAAGAGTTCTTATCAAACAAAATTATATATACACCTTATATATACACCCCTGGAACTGAGCTCCTCCGCTGCTGCCTTCCCTTGGCCTTCCTAGGCCCCCAATATAGCTCTGAAATTTTAAAACATTTTAGAAAAATCACTAGGTTAAGCCACTACTGTGGCTCAGTGTGGCTCTCATTTTAGGATTATTCTAATTCTCACTTACTGTGGGTCATTGATAACTGAAGCTAAAGGTTTTGAATTAAAACTCATTGATGTTTTTAATTTCATGGAGTTGGCATAGTAATCTTTTCCTTATCTTGATGTCTTAAATGACTATCACTTGCCAGCTGCTTACTATGTGGTAAAGATTTTACATATATAATATTGAATCTCAAAACAATCTTTGGGATAATTAGCACTCCCATTTTTATCAATGAAGTAAGTGAACCTCAGAGAGGTTAAATAACTTGCTCTGTAGCATACAGTCAGCAATTGGTAGAGCCAGGACAAGAAAGTCTATGACTAAATAAAGTCCGTGCTTTATTTAGTAAACCTTACAACAATGCCTGATAGGTCTTTTTAAATAATTTATTTTTATTTTATTTGCATTGGTGTTTTGTCTGCCTGTATGTCAGTGTCAAATCTTGGAGTTACAGTTGTGAGCTGCCATGTGGGTACTGGGAATTGAACTCAAGTTCTCTGGAAGACTGGCCAGTGCTTTTAACCACTGAGCCATCTCTCCAGCCCCAATGGTGAGGCCTAAAGTGCTTTATAAAATGCATCCTTTCCTCACCACAACCTTCTAAATTATTATATACTCTTGGGGTTATCGCTGTGTAACAAACAAGGAAACTAAAGAACAAAGAAATTAATTTATGTTTTTGTTTTTTTACCACAACCCTTGATATAATTGCAAATATTTAAAAATTAGCCTAACAAACATAGGAGCCTAATTTTTTAACCTAACACACTCAAAAGTTAAGAATTATGTAATGTTTTAGATTAACTAAATTATCTTTCATACACTTAGAAATAATCAGAATTTTAAAAATAAATGTCCTAGCAGGTGTCTAATTATTGACAGATACATACACCTTTTCTTGGCACTCAGGAGGCACAAACTGGCAGATCTCTAAGTTTGAGGACAGCCAGGACTATATAGAGAGATGCTGTCTCAAAAAACTGACTAAATAAATAAATATCAACTTAAAAGTTTTCTTCATTTTTTTTAAAGATTTATTTATTTATTATGTATACGACATTCTGCCTCCATGTATGCCCGCATGCCAGAAGAGGGCACCAGATCTCATTACAGATGGTTGTGAACCACCATGTGTTTGCTGGGAATTGAACTCAGGACCTCTGGAAGAGCCGCCAGTGCTCTTAACCACTGAGCCATCTCTCTAGCCCAAGGTTTCTTCATTTGTATTATCTGCTTGAACTAATTTAGATCCTTGCCAGTTATACTATTAAAGATCCAAGAAGCCACTCTACAGAAATGCCGTTGTAGAAACTCTAAACTTGGTAACCTAAATGTTCTTATTGTTTGTTTTTTGATACAGAGTTTCTTTGCAAAGCCTTTGCTGTCCTTTGCTCTGTAGACCAGGCTGGCCTCAAGCTCAGGGAGATCTGCCTGCATCTGCCACCCAAGTGCTGGGATTCAAGGTGTGAACCACCCCCGCCTGGTTCTACAACAGTCTTTTTTCCTTTCTTTTGTTTTTTAATCTGTTTTAGAAAAAGCTGTTCTTGAAGTACAATTTCTGTACTTTACTCAATTCTATACTTTTATTAAATTCTAAAGTAACCATTTCACTATAGGTTATGGCCATTGCACCAACCCATTACATCTGGCAACGAGAGCGCTCTGTGCATCACAGTGGAGCTGTTAGGAACTACAACAGAGATGAAGTTCATCTGCCCCGGGGTCCTAGTGCCACACCAGTAGACTGTTTACTGTGTGGTAAAAAAGGAAGATACATGAGATTGGGACTGTCTTCATCGTCATCTTCATCCAGTGACACAGTAGAGCTAATGGAAAAACACTCTCAGGAATTACACAATTCATTAACAGTGGACAAGATAGGTGAACCTTCTCAAGCCAATAGCTATTCTCAAGGTATGCTTTAATGGTAAAATAGAATTAAACCAATGCATGCTATTTATCTAGTCACACCTTCCAGGCAGGGATGCAAATGTTTCATAACTGAGCTAAATTAGTATTGAAAGTTTTCTCTCTTTGAGTTACCACTTTTTATTCTGTCTATACCTGTTTTGTGGTAGTGTATAAACACTAAAAGGATTTTGACATATATTAAGCTGAAACTCAGTATGTTGTGAGGGTATTAGCGCTCTAAGTATTAGGACTTGAAGGGTTTCTATGAAATGTATGTTTTATTTAAAAATGATTTCAAGAAAATAAATTTACTTGTAATCCCCACCCAACTATTGGTTTCTTCTATATACTTTTTTATTTCTAACAAAAGTAGACTATATAAAGGCTATCCTTTTATTATTTAGTATAAATCATTTTCCCATTGGCATTTAGTCTTATTGTGATATGTTATGCCTTAATATTTGTTGTGAGGAGGCCACTTGTTGGTTCCTGGCTGCTCGGCAGCTCAGATCCAAAATAATCATGCAGAAACTATATTATTTAGAACACTGCTTGGCCCATTAGCTCTAGCTTCTTATTGGATAACTTATATCTTAGTTTAACCCATTTATATTAATCTGTATATCGCCACGTGGCCCAAAGCAGTTCCTTTATTAATCAATGATATTCACAGCATACAGACGGAAATCCCAGATCAAATTTATTTGCATATTTCATTTTTGTTGAGATCTAATGCTTACTTAGAACAATGATATATCAACTAGAAAATATTAGCCAGAAATATATCATAACTTTCAAATTATTTTTTTAAAGATTTATTTATTGTGTATACAATATTCTGCCTGCAAGCATGCCTTCAAGCCAGAAGAGGGCACCAGATCTCATTACAGATGGTTGTGAGCCACCATGTGGTTGCTGGGAATTGAACTCAACCTTTAGAAAAGCAGGCAGTGCTGTTAACAACTGAGCCATCTCTCCAGCCCCTCAAATTATTTTTATATGTAGCATTTCTTTTCTAGATTTGAAACAGTACTAGAATACTCTGTAATAGGATCCTGTTTCTTTCATTTGAAAGATTTCTTGTTTTACCTTCTATCATGGAAAAAAAAAACAGACACATACAACCTCAGAATTTTACTGGTTTATTTTTACCATATTTCTATGAGAAGGACAATGACTACTGAAGCTTTTCTTTACTAAAGAGGAAACTAAACTCTAGTCCTTTGACAGTAGAGGTTGAACCTTAGTTCCTGTTCCTTTCTTTGGGCACAGAATTTACTTTACAAATTTTACTGACAGTATAGTTTCTTGCTTTTCAACATCTCCAAGTACATTCATTATTGTCATACCCATATTTGACAGTAAGTAGGGCTGATCAATTATAAAGTAAGAATTGATCATCCCTCTCCTATCTTTCAGGGCTCTTTTACATTCTTTGATCCTCAGAATAGGTAAGGTTTATTGGATACTTAAATGTCCCAGGCAATACAGAAAACCCCTAATATTCATAATGCACTACCATTGGAGGTTAAGTATTGTTATCTCCACTTGGCAAATAAGGAAAACCGAGGCTTTTGTTAATTTGCCCAAGATTGGTAGAGTAATATTTGAAACCCCAGTCACCTGAATTCCTACCTAGTATGCTCTATGGGCCTTTGATGAAATCTTGCTTTTAGCAGTGAAAATAAGCTGGTGGCAGAAGCCTTTAAGAAGATTGCTAAAGCAGAGGTGGAAATATCAAGAACCAAGTTCCTTCTGAAATGCTTGTGGATTGAGTTGGGAGCAAATTCTAATAATTTGAACAGGTATCTACAGAAAGCAGAAGAGGAACTGCTGTGCTTTTAGACCAGTCCTGTAGATCTCACTGGAGCATACTCTATACTTAAGACCTTGACAATCCCACTAGGAAACTGGAGTACAGGCAGGAAGAAAGGCACTTTGCCAGTCACTGTACTCAAAAAGCTGGAGGCAAGGGATGTGCCAGTGGGTAAAGACTGCTAGCTGATTACCCAAGTTCAGTCCTGAGAGAGAGAGAGAGAGAGAGAGAGAGAGAGAGAGAGAGAGAGAGAGAATGTAATTTTAAAATTTTGTAAAATATTTTTTATGGTTTATTTAACTTTATTTTATGTGCATTGGTGTGAAGGTGTCAGACCCCCTGCAACTGGATCTTCAGACAGTTGTGAGCTGCCATGTGGGTGCTGGGAATTGAACCCAGGACCTCTGGAAGAGCAGTCAGTACTCTTAACCACTGAGCCATCTCTCCAGTCCCAGTTTTTAAATATTTAAAGCATGTCTTTGAGACATTGTGGGCGAAACAGAGCAGGGAGTTGTGGAAGGATTGTGCTTTCACCTTGTTTGTTGATGAAATTCCAGTTTAGGATTTATAGGTCTTTGTTGGTTTGTTTTGGTTTTTGAGACAGTTTCTCTGTGTAACTCTGGATGTCCTGAAACTCCCTCTGTAAACCATGCTCTGTAGACCAAGCTGGACTTGAACTCAAGAAATCCACCTGCCTCTTCCTCCTGAGTGCTGAAATTAAAGGTGTGTGCCACCATGGTCTGGCTGTGAATCTTAAGGTTAACTCTAAAATCCTTTGATACTATCAGAGGACAAGTGATATAAAGAAAAATATTTCTGGGTATGGTGCCAATGTCTTGTGATCTCAGCACTTAGGAGGTAAAAGTAGGAGGATTGCAAGTTGGAAGCCACAGTGGTTTCTTATTAGGGGTGTGGGGGGTGGTGAGCACTGAAGCAATGTCTCAGTGATGAAAAGCACCTCCCACTCTTCCAGAGGCCTCCAATTTGAATCCAGCACCCACAAGGTGGCTCATAACTGTAACACAAGTCCCAGGGTACCTGATGCTTTTTTCTGGCCTTTACCGATACCACACTGGTTATACACACACATACATGTAGGACACATGTACATGCAGGCAAAACCCCTGTATACATCAAAGTAAATAATAAAATTTAAAAACCAAATCATTAGGAACAACAAAAACCCCTATTAGATGGAAAGATATAAAATAATGATCACATATACATTTAATCAATAAAAAGTCTACATTCATTCTCCGGGCTTCACAGAATGTGAAGTAACTAGGGATGAAGTATACAGTATTGTAGAAGGAATCATAGCATTTCCTAGAGTAGGGTCGGTCTCTCCTGCCTTAGCAACTGCTCAAGTTTATAGTGTCCTCTGCTAATAAAACATTTCCCCTACAGTCTACATAATGCTGGAATCACTTGATGGTTTATATATAGTCATAAAATATTCATTCCAAGTCGGGCAGTGGTGGCAGACACGCCTTTGATCCTAGCACTTGGGAGGTAGAGCCAGGTGGATCTGAGTTTGAGGCCAACCTGGTCTATAGAGTGAGTTCCAGGACAGCGAAGGATACACAGAGAAACCCTGTCTTGAAACCAACAAAATCTTTCAAGAGAGACATATAAGGAGTTGACTTTGACTCCAGGTTTTTAAGCTATGGTTTATTGTAGATAGTGATCAGTACACCTTTCAAACAAAAGAAAGCAACTTTCTTCCATCTATCCTAACTTGCATTTTTTCCCCTTTCTTCCTTTCTCTTTTTCTTCTTTTAAGACATGGTTTCATTGTGTAACCCTGGGTGTCCAAACTCATTGCATAGATCAGACTGGCCTCGAACTTACAGAGATCCATCTGCCTCTGGGATTACAAGTATGCAATACCATGGCTAAATTTGTTTGATTTTTAAGTAACATGTACCAGAAAGCAATTTTAACACAGAAAAGTACCAATGATATACTAGTCCTTTATGCTAATCACATTTAAAAGCCCAGTTGCCCAAGAAGTTTTGAAGTGATTTTGTAATATTCATTTTACTGCTGGAAAAACTCAGAAAAGTCACACTATTACCAGCTAAAGCAGCAGAAATAAGGGGTTCAGCTCTATCTAAACATGCAATTTTTGAAAAAAAAAATCGTATGTGTATGAGTGTTTTGCTTGCATGTGTATCTCCTTACCATGTGAGTATAGTGCCCATGGAGGCTGGAAGAAGACATAGGATCCCTTAGAACTGGAGTTACATATGTTTGTAAGCCACCATGTAGGTGCTGGGAATTGAACCCACGTCCTCTGGAAGAATGGTCTAGGGTTTGTAACCACTGAGTCATCTCTACAGCCCCCACTTTTCTGTTTTTACTGGTTTTGTTTTTGGTGTTGGTGTTTGAACCCAGGGCCTTATATAAGCTATACTCATGTTCTTACATTTAGGTTATACCTCCAAACCCTGTAGCCCATTTTATATTAAACTATCTCTGCTACTGTTTACATGACTTGAAGCCCCAAGACATCTAAACTAGTCCAAAATGCACACGAACTGTCTGCAAACTTGAGGTTTTAAAATTAAAACAGCGGGGAAAAAATAACCAAGCCTTTTCTTAGACACCAACAGGAATATGTCCATCTTAAGATGGAATATTCTCTATGTTAGATAACCTATAACCAAATAATTTTCTTAAAAATAAATCAACTTGGGGCTGGAGAGATGGCTCAATGGTTAAGAGCACTGATTGCTCTTCTAAAGGACCCAGGTTCAATTCCCAGCATCCAGATGGCAGTTTACAGCTGTCTGTAATTCCAAGATCTGGACTATACACAAGTAAAGGAATACTTGCAAGCAAAACACCAATGTACATAAAATTAAAAAAAATCAACTTTAGAACTTCATTTTTTGTTAAATTGTTATATGTGTTCTGGATACAGTCATCCATGTTTAAAATCATTCCACTGTGTCAGGTGGTGGTGGCACACGCCTGTAATCCCAGTACTTGGGAAGTAGAGGCTGGCAGATCTCTATGAGTTCGAGGAGGTCAGCCTGGTCTACAAAGTAAGTTTCAGGACAGCTAGGGCTGTTACACAGAGAAACCCTATCTTGACAAACAAACAAAAATCTTTGCACTTAACAAAGATATAATCAGGGATAAAGATATGGCTCGGTGGATGAGTATATGTTTGGCAGGCACTGAACACTCGGTTCAAGGCCCAGGCCAAAAATAAACAGAGCAAGGCACATGGATTAATAATGTGATCAGGGCTATGCTATATGTCCAACATTTAGGAGCACAAAATATTACAGAATTATAAACCCAAAACTCTGGAGGCTGAAGGAGAATTACTGTAGGTCCTAAGCTAGCCAAAGCTCTAGATAATCCTATTTTCAAAAAACATAATAATAGACTACAGAATTCTCTCTGTAGAATGAGAAAGTTGGTAAAAGATTTTCAGGACAAGTAACGTATGAACAGAACATTGAATGAGTCCTAGTCCTGTTTTTCCAGGGACTGGCAAACATAAGGGACAGAGTGGAATGACAGATAGGAATTTGAAAATACAGTATGTCTTACACTGAATCATTAGCTAATCTGGTTCTTTCTTCATTATATTTTTTTATACCTGTTCCCTTTAATTTCTAATCACATATGCATTACTGTAACGAAGTTAGATGAAATGATGCATGATCCAGTGTAACTTAAATCCACCAGCAAACTTACTGACCATTTACTGGATAGGAAAGTTAAGGCAAGGCCTCTAGAAATCAACCGCAAGACAGTTCTGAACCAGATCTCTTAAGATTTGAGCATGATACATGAGGGTCAGACATAGACACAAAAAACTATCATGAAGCCAGGCATGGTGGCATACACTTATAACCTCCGCACTTTGGACATGGAGTGGGTCAGGAATTCAAGGTTATCATCAGTTTGAGGTCAGCCTGAGCTACGTGAGAGCCTGTCTCAAAAAATGAAAAGGAAAGAAAAAAGAAAAGTTAACATTAGTTAGTATTTGTCCTAGCATGCTTATAATCCTACTACCTAGATGCCGAGACATGAAAATCATGTGTTCAAGGCTAGTCTGAGCTACACAGGGAGTGAGATCCTGACAGTTGGGGATGGCATCTGGGCCATAAATAGAATGCAAACATAATGAGAGAGGGGGGTTGGAGAAAGATCTTAAACTGGAGCTTGATGAACTATTTGAAAACAAATGCTAATTTGTTTATCATTCAATTCAAAATTAAGATGGATACAATGCTAGGAGATATTGTTCAATTATCCACTGAACATATGCTAACATGCTAAGCAGAAACTAAGATCACTTAGTTTGAAATGAAATAGGTTAAGCAACAAGATGTTCATTTGCCTTTAATCCAATTCCTTCTCCATGTGGCCACATAGGACCTACACTTATTGGACATCAAAACTCTAGTTACAGTACAGACAGACCTCAGTCAGTACTTTAATGCAGCTAGAATGACTTTTCCACACAAAAATCTAAGCATGTTACCCTTAAGTTACTGCAGTGGCACCTCAGTTTTTTGTTTTTAAGATAGCCAAATTTGGGTTGGAGATACAGCTCAGTTGACAGAGTACTTGGTTAGCCTTCACTGACCATAGGATTTGATCCCCAGCATTACACAATAAAGGCATAATAATTCACACCAGTATTATCAGCACTTAGAAGGCAGAGGCAGGAGGATCAGAAGTTCAAGGTGTCAACCTCAGCTACATACTGAGCTTGGGCCAACTCCTTAGAATTCTCTAAGATCCCACATAGCCTGATCCCGACACCAAGCTCTTTCTCATCCTCCCGCCTCTACCTTCCCATTCCCCACTTTTATAGCCCTCTTTCTCCCTCTGAACCCCTTCTTTAGAACATATCCACCTCTTAATTCTATGCCTTTAAAAAAAACTTTTTTTTTCTGAGATAGGATCTTACTATGTTACCCTAGGTGTCCTAAAGCTTGCTATATAGAACATGCTGATTTTGAACTCACAGAGATCCAATTGTCCCTGCCACCTGGTGCTAGGATTGAAGGTATATTCCATCATACTCAGTTTTGTTTGTTGTTGTTGTTAAAGTAACCCACCAAGTTTAATTAGGGTTGCTTACATGTTCTGTTTGCTAGAGCAAGGCCACCTTACCAGTGGCTACACTACTGAAGAAAAAGGACTCCCCTCTCCTATCTATGCTAGAATGTTGATGGGGTTGATCTTATGCAGGTAAACATGGCTGTTGTGGGTTTCTTAGCACAGTGACATTTCCTTAATGTTTTATAGCACTTCTCTCTATCCTTTGGCTCTTACATTCTTTCCCTCTGTTTGAATTGTGTGTGTAATACACAGATGTCCCGTTTAGGGCTAAGCACCAGTCACTGATTCTCAGCACTTTGACCAGTTATGAATTTATGCATTAACCACTGCCCACCACAGAAGGCCTCTATGACCAAGGTTGAGAGCAGCACTAATCTAGGGGTATAATGTTAATTATTTAGAAAGCAGCATGGCATCATGTTCACTTAGCAAAATAACAGAAGTAGGTTCCCCCCTAAAGCTAATGGCCTCCTCAGCTACAGGCATGAATGTACTATATAACCCAAGCTGGCCTGGAGCCCATGGCAGTTCTGCTTCGACATCATAATTAATGACATACATCAATGATGGGAGAAATAAACTTTAAGAATGTGAATTAGGAATAGGGATTATTCGTAGGTACCAGTTATATTAATTCTGATTTATTTTAACCTGGTTTAAAAGATTCTGTCTGACACTGTCTTGAGAAACAAACAAACAAACAGGCAAAATTCTGTCTATGGTAGCTCACATCTGTTATTCTGGAGTTTAGGAGACTGGAGCAGGAGGACTGCCATTAGTTCCAGAACACCCTGAACTATAGTAAGGCCAGCCTAGGTTATAGAATGAGACCTTGTCTCAAACCAAATCTCTCTAGAGGAAAAGGCAGAAGGATCAGAGTTCAAGGCCACCCTGACTACTTGAGACCTTGTCTTTAAGTCCCAGAGGAATAGAAACCAAACAAAGAGAATTACTATGTCTTGAGGGTATACCCCATTAATAGTGTGTTTAAGATGTACCAGGCTCAAGGTCCTGGTGTCAATTCCTAGAAACAAAAGCAACATTGTTACATCTTTATTATGATTATATCATTCTCATCGGTTCTTCCTCAGCTCTTCCTATTTATTACAGTCCTGTTTTCCTTTTGTTTATGTTTTTGTGGCTTTTTGGAGATTGCCTTCCACCTCTTGAGGTGGGCTCTTCCATTGTTTTTGCTGCTGCACCAAATACTCTAGGCTAGCTGACCAACCAGCAAGCTCCCAGGTGAATCTACTGTTTCTACCTTCCATATTGCTATAGGAGTGTTGGTATTACAGATGTCCACCACTACTGCATCCAGCTTTTTCTACCCACCACCCCATCTCCCACAGTCCTGGCTGTCCTGAAACTCACTTTGTAGACCGAGCTGGCCTGAAACTCAAAAATATCTGCCTGCCTCTGCCTCCCAAGAGCTGGGATTAAAGGCTTATGCCACCACTGCTTGGCTTATTATTACTTTAAAGTTCCAAACAAACAATTAAAATATGTACTAGGCCTTTAATCCCAGCACTTGGGAGGAAGAGGCAGTTGGATCTCTGAGTTCAAGGCCAGCCTGGTCTACACAGTAAGTTCAAGATAGCCAGGGCTACACAGAGAAACCCTGTCTGGAAAAAAAAAACAAAACAAAAGAACAAAGAAAACAGGGGCTGGAGAGATGGCTCAGTGGTTAAGAGCACTGATTGCTCTTCCAAAGGTCTTGAGTTCAATTCCCAGCAACCACTTGGTGGTTCACAACCACCTGCAATGAGGTCTGGTGCCCTCTTCTAGCCTTCAGGCATACACACAGACAAAATATTGTATACATAATAAAAAAAACGAAAAAAATCCTATTTCAATCATTTTGTTGTTGGTCTTTTTTTTTTTTGAGGTAGGGCCTCTTGTATCTTAATCCTCCTGCTTCTTCCTCAACAAACTCGAATTAAAAGCATGATCACCACTCTCAAATTGAGACTCTGTTTCAAAATAAAAAGTTAAAAAATATTTAGAAATATATAAATTTTTGTCTTAAAATACAATTTACCTTAAGATGCGTATTTTATTTCAGTAGCCAATGACCATCAATCAAACAAAGAAAAGGAAACTAATTTTATGAAGAAAGACAGAGCTATGGAGTGGTTTACAGGAAGTGAAGAATGACGTGGCTCAACTAAAGCAACCTGGAATTAACTACAGATTATCAAAATAAATGCAAGACAATGTCAAAATGGGACAGATACCCAATTGTACAATATTCTTTAGCTTCTGTTATTCTTCAAACATATGTAAAAGTTATACAAGTCATAGTAATAACTAGAAATACCAATTTATGACAGTGATTGATAATATGAAATTCTAATTTGATACTTCTCTGCCTTCAAATTGACAGCTCTCATCTCAGGTATCTCAGTTCAGCTGTGGTTTGACCTTTCTCAACCTGACAAGAAAAACCAGTTTAAAAGAGAAAACAATTAAGGTCATACCACTGTATTAGTTAAAGAAACATTTAGTATGTTCTGAAAACATTTCGTGTGTGGACAGTTTGCCAGTGAGCAGATCTAGAATATAGAGATATGGTCTGTATAGAAAATCAGAATGTGACTTTGTGTAACAGAACAAAATGCTTTCTACACTATATGTGTTTATAATTTGTTCACACTGTCCTGTTCTTGTAAGCTCTTTCTCTTCTTTTTGTATTTGTATTGGAGCTATACTGCTAGTCAGTATACAGAAACATTTGCCAGCGATCACATAGTAATAACCTTACAGATAAGCTTATGACCAAAAGGATAAGCCTGCTTCATAAATAAATATATCTGAAACCCTTTTCACGGCCTAGATAATGTGCACATACAAGGACCTAAACTTGCTTCCTGGAAGAGCTCCAGAAGCTCTTTAGGACTTCTGCAATTTATTTAACAGAATAGCAAAACACTACATTTCAGTTTCTGTACCAAAATTATAATAATAATGATAATCCATGAAGAGTATCTAGCAGTTATGTGAGCGTGTTATTGTGTGACTGTGTTGGCCAATATACTCAAGAATCTACAATACTTACTATTGAATATGCAAGCATCAAATAAAACTGGAGCTCACCATGGTTCTCCTCTTGAAACACTTCATTTCCAGCTTCAATTTTCTTTTAAGAATGTAATTGTAAATTTGTGTTGATTCTTGGTCTGACTTTTAGAGGCAGAATTCTACTTCTCTTCTTTGTAAGGCAAACCAGCCAATCTCTGACTGACCTCGCTTATCTGTTCACCTGAGAGAGCAAGTTCACAGGTGTGGATCCCATCCAAAGTTCAACAGTTATTCAACATTTTACATATGCCTATTTAACATTTTATATGTGCCAGTCTGGGTGGTAGTGATGCGCGCCTTTAATCCCAGCACTCGGGAGACAGAGGCAGGCAGATCTCTGGGTCTGAGACACAGAATGAGTTCCAGGACAGCCAGGGCTACACAGAGAAACCCTGTCTCAAAACCACTCCCACCCCAAAAAAGAAAAGAAAGAAATGATTAACATTTAATTTAGAATTATAATACTAGAGAGTTTGAAACCTTGCTATGTAGACCAGGCTGGCCCAAACTCACAGTGATTTTCCTGCCCCTGCCTGCTAGGTGCCTGACTAGTGGAACTCCATCTACTAGATAGATAAGACCTTTGTAATCTTGAAATCAGCATATCTCTTGTTACCCAATGAGACCTCAAAATATCCCAAGGATGGGCCTATTACCATTCGGTTCTTGAAATGGGTCAGGGGTGAGTTTCACCTGCTTATCCACTCCTGCTCACTCACCAAAACACAACTTCCCCATGTCCCAACTGCGGTTTCACGTGGTTATTAGGGGTGACATAGGAAGGTTTACTGGGGTTGGGACTCCATTGATGTGGCTTTAGAAGTCACCCATGCTTAGATGGAGATTTTCCAGGAAGTAGCTCGCTGGCATACCCACGCATCAGTACTTAATCCCGGTAATCTCACTGGCTCACCAAATTGGACTTGGATGGAATCGTTTCCTTGGTCTGTTGGTGTCTTACCTGGGCTGAATAACCACTTATGTGCATCTCAAGAGAAAAAGAACGGCAGAGAACGCAGGATTTTTGATGCATTCCAGGCAAGCTCTCTACAACTGAGTTAAATCCCTAACCCTAATATAAATACATGTGATAAAATATACTTCCAGTAACATACTTTATTAAGTATTATTAAAATACCGCCATGGGGCCTGCAGATGGCCCAGCCAAGTAGATACACTGTGGACAAGCCTGATAACCTGAATTTGATTCCAGGATCCCACAAGGTGGCAGAAGAGAACTGACTTTGGGAAACATACACACCAAATATTAAAAAAAGAAAAAACAAAACCGTTATAATGGTACTACAAAATTTACCCCCAAACATTCAACATTCTCTTAAGTATTGAACTCACTTAAGAGCTGTAGGGAACAAGTACGTCTCTGTTTAGCAAGTCCTCGTCACTTTAATAGAAAACTGACATAATCTTCATTTTAGATATGGGAGTAGGGACTATCAAACTTAAACTCAGTTTCTTTTTGAAATTATCAGTATCTGAACATGTTTAAAAACCCAACATGTTGAGAAACTCCAACACTTGGTGATATGGTGAGAACATTCATCAGAGCCCATCTTTGCCCTTCCTGGAACCCACACCCACCTAATCCCTATCGCAAAGCCCAACGGTAAGTCTTCGTTTCATCAATAATACATAGTCCCCAAACCTGACCTCTGCAGCAGAAAACTCTTACTAGAGGAACTCGTCAGGATCTGGCCAGAGAACTTGCCCACCATCTTGCTGAACGGGATTGTCCCCAGTTACTATTAAAGTGCCCGACGTTGCACAGCTGTCTTTTCCCCGTCTGAACTAAAATAAGCTCCCTGGCCCAAAAGGGTCCCTCTCTGTAAGGGAAGCAAAAAGAGGAAGCGTTAAACTCTCTCGGTCGCCAACTGAGCCACCGCGGACAGCACGCAATCCCAGGGGTCACAGTGGCTCTACTCTCCACTCCAGTCCTCCCGATCTCGAGGGGGTGACTCTTCCCGCGAAGTCCACAGCCTGAGGTTCTCCACAGACTAGAGACACCGAGTCCCTACATTCCGGATACCGGGAGCACGGGACTGGAGACAACCCGAGCACGCGCTCTCCATCTGGCGCGTCTCCAGGCGGGGACTCGCAACACCGGAACTGAGCTCCCTCTCAAGACACTAATCCAAGTTATGTTAAGAACGAATCGGCTCCGAGCTTCGACCGACTCTGGAGCTCAGCAGTCTCAGCAATTGAAAACAGAGCAGGTGCTGAGGTACACATGCGACGCAATCACAGCTCCAGCCCCTGCGCCTTGTTTCTCGGCAGCATAGGCGGCGGACTCACCGGTGTCTCAGGCAGAGTAGCGTCACTGCACCGGCGTCCCGCAGACACGGTGGGCGGAGCTTGGGGCTCGTTGACCTCGCGGCTAAGGGGATTGTCTCCGCAGCAAAAATTCTTGCTGCTTCTTCGGGTGGCGATAGTACAGAGTTTACCATTCAGCAACCTCTTCCAGCCGCCCGGGGACCAGGAGTACCAGGAAAGACGAAATGTAGATTGTGGAACCTGGAAAGTCTTCTGCCAGGTTTAAGTCGCTAGTGGTGGTGAACGGGAACGCCACCTATCACCCCCAAGAAGCAAAAGTATACTAGCCCTGAGATTCGTTGGTCAGGCATCGTAGATTACACTGCTTGGTGACCCGCACACTTTGTTCATGACTGGCAAGTCCTTTTCGAATGGGTAGGGACTGCCTGTCCGTCCTCAGTCCGAAGTCCAGAGTGTCCACAGAGCGGAGGAAGACCAGAGTAGCCAATGGGGGTATAGCTCAGTGGTAGAGCATTTGACTGCAGATCAAGAGGTCCCTGGTTCAAATCCAGGTGCCCCCTTACCTCGTACTTTTGAAAACCAACGGAAACTATGGTGGCACATGCTTTAAGGTCTATATAAGAAGGTCCAGGACTGCCAAAGACCAGAACTACATAATAGAAAGAACAAACTAAAACTTCGCTTACGTTCTTATCCAAAAGAATTCTTTACAAAAATCAAACAAGTCGTGCGGTGGTGGCGCACGCCTTTAATCCCAGCACTCAGGAGGCAGAAGTAGGCGGATGTCTGTAAGCACAAGGCCAGCCTGGTCTACAAGAGCTAGTTCCAGGACAACTAGAACTGTTACACAGAGAATACTGTCTCGAAAAATCAGAAAAAAACAAAACAAGACAAAAAAACCCACAATTGTTTTAGCACCCCCGCTCCAACTTCTTAAAACTGAAGTCACCTTTTGCACCCAAAGTTAAATATCATTAGCGTGTCTGCTTGATCTCAGGGCATCAGGCAATGCCATGAATGTATATTGAAAATTCACAAGAGGAAGATTAAATGACCAGCGCAAGGTCCCCGACAAGAGAGCTAAGAAGCGGGATGTGAGATTTCTAACTACACCAACCAAATTCAATAGCCCTTGTTAATTGTATCATAAACCTTTTTTAAAGACTAACCGAGAACTGGGGCAATAGCTCAGTATGTACTTGCAAAAGCAAAGTATGCTTGCTTTGCAAGAACGGGGGTCCGCGCTTGATTTCCAGAACCCACATGTAAATGAGAGGTGAGCAGCAGGGTGGTTCTGTAGGAAAAGGTGCCCAACCCAGAGACTGGTGACTAGATTTCCATCCTAGGAACCCACACGATGAACATGCTTTCCTGGGTTCTCCTCTGATACCTACACATATTTTGAAGCAAGTGTTCCCCTCCCCCTTCTTTTAAAGCAAAGTTGGTATGTAATTCTGATCCTAGGGAAACAGAGAAAGGCAGATGCCCCAGCACTCAGGGACCAAGCCCTCTAGCTCACCAGACAAGTTCCAGGCCAGTGGACATGACCCTGTCTCAGGCACCAGGCACGCACGTGGTACACAGACCCATGCACACAAAAATAAAAGTAAATAAAAAGTCTTTTAAACATGAAAAATAAACCCCATTCATAGTCTGGGAGTATAGCTGCTCAGTAGTTAATTGCATGCCTAGCTTGCATCAGGTCTTGAGTTCAAGCCTCAACACCACGGGGGAAAATTCTATTCATATTTTTAAAGTTTACCTCATTTTGTCTCAAAACTGAATTTGACAAACTGTACTTTAAATTTATGTAATAATCTTCTCGTGTTCCTGTTTAGAAAAAAAAAAAAAAAGGTTTGCCAGGTAGCGGCAGCCCACACCTTTGATCCCAGCACTTGGAAGGCAGAGGCAGGTGGATCTGAGTTCCAGGACAGCCTGGTCTAGATCTACAGAGTGAGTTTCAAGACAGCCAGGGGTACACAGAGAAACCCTATCTCGAAAAAAACAAAAATCAGGAGAGAGATACTGAGACACATGAATGTTTTGCCGTGTATGCATGCATGTCTGCCACATGTGTATCTGGTGCATTCAGAGGCCAGAAGAGGGCATCAGATCCCCTGAAAGTGAAGTTACAGGCAGTTATGAGCCACCGTAGAGACGCTGGAACTGAACTGGGGTTCTCTCCAAGATCAGCAAGTGCTCTTAACCTCTGAGCCATCTCTCTATCCCCTGCTTCTATTTCTCTTGTGTTTGTCATATTCTGCTTTGAGCATAAAATCATCCAGTAAACATCAGTGGATTGCATTACTTCTCATTTTGTTATTTATCCTTGCAAGTAAATTTAAAAAAAAAAGACGACAATGGCGAATCACACAAAATGCTTAGTGAGCAGAAATAGTGTCCTTCAAAATGTCCCCCCCACATTTCCTCAGAGAGCACTGCCTTGATGTCCCCCCAGTCCGGTCTCCTTTCTGCTCGCCTTGGGCTTTTTCCCATTTCTGTTACTAACAGGTAAGATTGTTCGGCAACAGCGTCCTTCTCCTAGGCTTCAATGTTTTTTAAAATATTTTTTAACATTTTTATTTATTTTATTTTATGTGACATTTGTCTGTGTGAGGATGTCGAATCTCCTGGAACTGGGATTACAGTTGTGAGCTGCCATGTGGGTGCTGGGAATTGAATCCAGGTCCTCTGGAAGAACAGCCAGTGCTCTTAACCACCAATCCAACTCTCCAGCCCCCTTCAATCTGCTTTTGAGTTCTGAGAGCAGATCTCCCTTATTCCACATTGTATCCCTGAGGTCCTAGCACGAGTCCTGAAGGAATGGATGAGGGAAAGTTGCAAAACAAAGCCATCGTATTTTCTTCCTCCAGGTGATCTGCCTGCAAAATACGTTTACTTGTTTCGTGCCGTGAAATAGGAAAACAAACCAATGCTCAGAGACAGGGAGCCCAAGAGCTTTCCAAAGTCACTTACCAACTGGGCACAACAGTTCCTCCACTCAGAGTCCCGCGAGAGGATCCCAAGATTTATGCCCTCATATTTCATAAGTGGACACATCTGTGTCAATTGCATTATCTTTTTAGAAAATGTTTTCTGTTTTCTTTTTTAAATCTTCTATAATCCATTATTATCCCAACAAGGAAGAAAAGTAGCTTTCACTTTGCCTGTGCTGTAAGGAGAATGCAGAGAGCAGTGAGCTTCAGAAAGATTCTGATCCGACGTCATCTGGGGAGAGCATGCCGTCCATGTGCTGGAGACATTACTCTGCACAATGCCATTCTTCAGACGAGTGTAGGGTCTGCACGGCCAGACTTAGGGCTGCAGAAGTCCTTATCTCAATCCTTAGTTTTAATTTTCTCCAAAACATCCTTTTAAAAAATGGAATTCTGGGAGGATTTCTTGAATAATGCACTAATGCTGCTCCAGGACAGGTAGGGCTACATATAGAGAGACTCTATCTCCAAAGGGGAAAAAGTAGTTCATACTGCTCTGCAATCAGCTCCCAGTGCCTGCACAGACAGCTTACAACCTCCTAAATTTTCAGCTCCAGTGGATCCAATGCTTCTGGCCTCCCAGGGCACAAGTGCTCGTGTTCACACACACACACACACACACACACACACACACACACACACTTCCAAAGGCTATTTTAAAAAGATGTTTTTTTTTATGTATGTGTGTTCAGGGATGTGCACATGTGTGTCCCCACGTGGAAGTCAGAGAACAGCCTGGGGTGCTGTCACTGTTATGTTATAACTGTGGTGTTATGTATGAGGAATACCATAAACCTCATTTGAGGTCATGCCTCTCATTGGCCTGGAGCTCACTAATTAGGGTAGTCTTGTGAGCCCCAGGAACTCTTGTATCTCTGCCCTCTCAGGACTGGAGTTATAAGCCTGCCACCATGCCTAGCCTTTTAATATGGATTCTAGGGACTGAACGAGGTTGCTCATGACTGCAAGGCAAGCATTCTCCCCAGCTCTTCTATACCTCTTTTAGTATTTGAAATGAAACTAGGCCTGGTTGAAGATGACACTTAAAAGAAACCCCACATTATCTCAGAATTAAGTACAATAAAGGGTTATTTATGGGGGGGTAGACTCACAGATCACAGTCCTCTGCTCAAATGGGGAACAGCAACAGAATCCCACAGCCGGAAGAGAGAGTGAATGCTGCGTGCTTTATACTGGCATTTATAATATAAGAGGCTACATCCAAGTGAGCAGGTAACTTAAAGGCTGCTGGCAGTAGGAATTCCTACATCACCTCCCCCTTCTGTTTAAATAAGAAAGTTCTATAATACAAAATTATATACAATAAGAACAAATATCAGTATAAAATTAGAATTACAACCAGCACAAACAATATGAAGCAAGAAACATGTGATAAATGTTTCAATGATTATTGTTTCCTACAACTATCTAGTTTTCAACCCCATTGAAGACCCAAGAAGGGAAATACTATTACTTGAGTAAGCAAGAAGTGCAATCAAGTAACTTCCAAAATGTGCAACAAATGACAGAGACAACTGGCTACCTGGGCAATCACCCAAAGTCTTATTAGCAGTATTGAAGCAACCAACTTTGGCTAAGGCCTAGAGTAACTGACAGACCATTTTCAGAGGCAGGAAAAATTTCAAAACCTTCTTATCCTGTGTTGGCAAGATTTAACAGTCTTTTTTTTTTGTATCCTACTTGTCCTGTCCAGACATCAGGCATTTTGTCAGTGATCAATACATGAGCAGTTCCTTGCCCAAAGGCCAGTTTTGCCAAGAAAAAAACAAACTCCAAGTGGAGTGTCTTTGGTACTCAACATTCTCTTAGGAATAGGTCAGTGCTTATAGGAGCAATTGTGGCCCAAATCAACAGAACCCTAAGTTATTTAAATGCCATATTCTACAGCTCTTTGAAGTGGTTGAAGATTACCTATCTATGCAGAATACAATCTCTATGTATATAAAGAACCTGATTAGTCTAACTATAAGTATGACAAACATGGAAGACTATTGACCTATAATTCTTAATATCTATATAACTTCAAGACTAAGACTTCATATTAGAATATTAAACAATCTTTAAATAACTGTACAACAAATGAGGACAATAACCTCAAAATGTAAACAATGTATATAAGTGTCTTGATCAGAGGTAGAAATGTATATTGTAATATGATAAATATATCCTAAAATTGTATTAAAATACAAAATGTCATAAACAGAGGCAGAAGCATGCCTACAATATGACAAAATAACTGCCTAGGTATACAAATATTGTAGATGAAAATAGGAACATATTCAATATAATTTAAGTTTGTATCAATATACAAGAATCTATACCAATGTAAATTGCCTATAAATAATAGTTCACAAGATTTCACTCTGTTACTCATTATTATTAGTGTGAGTAAGCTCATACTAATATATTATTCCATTCAATTTCCTTTCTTTTTTTCAAAGAGATGCCTGAGCTTACATAATTTCCTCCCCCAACCCCCAACCTTGTACCAATTATAATCAACCCCTAAATAATGTCCCTATCCATGAGGACAAACTTTGCTGGGAGAGGGGACACCATCTTCTAGAATTACTTTCAGCTCTCATGGGGAAATGTTCTTTCTATGGCATCCTGTGAAAGTAAAACAATGGTTAAGTTTCAAGATTACTGCCTGGTATAATTGCAAATGGTCTCTGAGTATTCAGTAGGGTTTTTCCGAGGTTCCTATTTGGAGTTCTGGCCAGAATGTTGTAAAAAAGTGTACCATTT